AATGTTGGGTGTCCAGTTTGAAACACCGTCTTTAGGCCTAATTTTCAGAAGTACTGAGCACCCACATCTCCATCTGAAGTCAGTAGGAGCTGCAGGTACTCAGCATCTTTGAAATCAGGGCCAGAATGTCTCAGATTGAACACCCTGACAACTGAGGCACACACAACTAATTAGTTCAATCAATCTTATAATTTGAACTGCTAAAATTGAGCTAAAGGTAAATAATAATCCCTCACTCTCACATAGTGTTTTTCATCAGTAGATCTACAAGCATTTTACAAAGGTCAGTATCATTATTCTCATTTTACAGATGGGGAAAATGAGGCACAGAGAGGTGAAGTGACTTGTCCAAGGTCACACAGCAGACCAGTGGCAGAGCTAGGAATAGAATGTAAGTCCCATTCAGTGCTCTGTCCACTAGGCCACACTGCCTTCACTGTTGCACTATGACTGCATTGCTATTAAGTGAGGTTTTCAATTGAGCTAAATTAGAAAAACTCTCCTAAGAAGAGAGATTGAAAAGATCGGAAACGTTTACCATAGAGAGGACATGGCAAAAGTATACAAAATAATGAATGGTATAATAGGTAAGGTAGATTAGGAGCTTCTGTTTCCCCCGTCTCATAACAGAAACAAGGGGACATTCGAGGAAACAGAGAAAATGCAGATCCAAACTGCTAAAAAGAAACACTTTATTATATAACACATAATTAGATTGTGGACCTTGTTGCCACAGGATGTCAGTGAGGCCAAGAATTTAGCAAGGGTCAAAGAAGGATTGAACATTTACATGTATAACAAGAATATCCAGTAATAATGGTTAATGTTAACAAAAAAAGTACTGGAAATCTCATGTTTCAGATTTTAAACCAATCTCTAGCTATTAGGGATTTAGATAAAACCTCTGTGTGTGTGTGATGGGGTGGGGGAGGGAGGAGCAGATTACCCCACATTTACCTGCTGTTGGTTTTCTTGCATCTTCCTTTGAAGCATCTGGTGCTGGCCACTGTCAGAGACAGGCAGGACCGGCGCTTCCATTTAGGCGACCTAGGCGGTTGCCTAGGGCACCAGGATTTGGGGGGGTGGCAATTCAGCGGCGGGGGGGCCTTCCGCACCCCGGGGCGTCGGCGGCCATTTGCCGGTGGGCCCTCCCCCGCCCCGGGGCCCGCTGCCGAAGTGCCCCGAAGACTGGGAGTGCGGAAGGCCCCCCCCGCCGCAGAATAGCCGACGACGACCAGGAGCAAGGAAGGACCCCTGCCTAGGGCGCCAAAAACCCTGGCGCCACTCCTGGAGACAGGGCACTGGACTAACTGGACCATGGATCTGAGCCAGTCTGTCAATTTCCGTGTTTCTGTGCTCTCTTACAAATGGGCAGGGTTAAAAAAAAGAAATGGGAAATAAGTTAGTGTGCAGTGAGGTTACTCCATGCCACACGGGAAGTACACAGGGTAATGACCCAATACAGGTCATCAGCAGGACCTTCCATACTAAAGCACAGACCTCTACCACTAAAAGAGTAACTCTTTTAGTTAGCAGTTGTTATCCGTTATGTAATCTAGCCACTAGCTGGGGACACAACCCAGACTTTACAAACATGTTACATAGTGCATTTTGAAGGAGCAGGCCATTGGTGCATTTTTATGCTCAAATTGTAGTCATAGAATATGAGGGTTGGAAGGGACCTCAGGAGGTCATCTAGTCCAATCCCCTGCTTAAAGCAGAACCAATCCCCAGACAGATTTTTGCCCCAGATTCCTGAATGGCCCCCTCAAGGATTGAGCTCACAACCCCAGGTTTAGCATGCAATGCTCAAACTTCAAACCACTGAGCTATCCCCTCTGATCATTTGAATACCCTGCACACATTATTCAAGCATGGGAATAATCACAACTCTTGTTTGTTTCATACATTTCCTTTACTTTCCCTTTATATGTATATATTGAAAAAACAAATAAGGAATTTGATGCCAAGAGCTATGTTGATCCAAAGAGATGGTTGCGAACCAAAATGCACAAGTTCTGCAGGCACATAAAAGGGAAAATATGGCCTCCTAGTGATTAAAATATCAGTTAAGAAGTGCATACGTATGGATTTAAAGGAGTTCAGCATTAAATCATAAATACTATTTTTATGATTTATAATATTTTTCAGAGCCCATTACACATCAAATTCTGTTCTGCCTCAGGTCCCAGGTACCACAGTGACTTCTTGAGCTTGACTCCATGTGAGGCATAGAAGATTCCAAACTGATGCATATTCCAGGGAGGAAGAACTTTCCTAAACTAATTTCTTAGCCCTGGTCTACACTGGGGGGATCGATCTAAGTTACGCAACTTCAGCTACGTGAATAACATAGCTGAAGTCGACGTACTTAGATCAACTTACCATGGTGTCTTCACCGCATGAGTCGACTGCTGCCGCTCCTCCGTCGACTCTGCGTGTGCCTCTCACAGCGCTGGAGTACAGGAGTCGATGGGAGAGCGCTCGGGGGTCGATTTATCGTGTCTAGACTAGACGCGATAAATTGATCCCTGCTGGATCGATTGCTGCCCGCCGATCCGGCAGGTAGCGTAGACATACCCTTAGACTGCTCTCTGCTTGACACTGCCCCTTTAAAATGTCCTCTTCTGCACTCCACATCAGTTGCAAGTGAGCTTACCACATATCCTGCTTGGTGGTGGTGCTTATTCTTCAGAGACAGATTGCTGAGACTATTCAGCTCTGTGCGGCAAGGGGGCGCCTATGAAATTAAAGGCTGTATAGGCAGTTGTGCTTTTTAATGTTTGCTACTTTTACTCTGCAGTTTTCGCAGCTTGTTTACTGCGGTTTATTCCTGCTTCAGGAGTCCATTGTTAGTCTGCACTGTCCCTGCAGAACTCAAACTCAGTATTGTAGAAACACCTAATTGCTAAGACACTTCTACGTGTGCTTATACATAAGGGAGGGTTCCGAGATGACATCAGAAAGAATTAACTGAGATCCCATGTTTAGCCAAATGTTTAACTGTCTCTCTCTCTGATGACAGTGTAAATTGGTTCTTCTGACTGCCATAAATTCCTGCTTTGACCATAATATTATATACTATCACAGACCACTCAGATATATGCCATAAAAAGCAATTCTCTTTGTCTTTAGCTGCCAGTTCTTTGTTCTAGTGAATAGGACAGATAGCGCCTTTGTGCCATAAAAGCTAACCTTCTGTCTTACTTTAATCTTAGTGAGGAGGTGAAATACCTCTAGGATTCATTGTTTTATCATTATAAGATAGGTCATGATCCTCTCTAATGTGGCTGCACTGTGAGGAAAGGGAATAATACACAACTTGTGTAAGAGCCACCCAGAAAAGCAGTCCCTGGGCTTGTGGGAGCACACAAACGAATATTTTGTAAGCAATAGGGCCAAATCTTGCAGCCTTTGCTGACCACAGTAGTTATTAGTCACAGAAGTAGTTTCTTTGGGGTATTCAGTGGTGATATGTAGCATGGTGCAAGTCAGACTCTCTTATACTTGGTTAGATTCCCTGAGACATACTTACAACCACTTATCAATATGTAAGGGAGTCCAAGTTAGTGTAACTTACATCTTTTGGTGGCTGCTTGGAGTGTAGGTTCAAGCCGTGTGTGGCTATTTTAACTTTCACATTCTTACACCCTCCTGTTAGTTACTTGCCTGCTGCATTCCTTTCTTCTGGCCCCTTAGCAGGCATATTACATCAGTTTAGATTCCCTTACATTCAGAGGATCAAAGTTAGACTCAGTGGGACAAGTTCTGAGGTGATGTGAGGGAGGTGTAAATTACACCTTTGTAAGTGGGTGTGAAACTAAATAAGTGTAAGCACGAGGCGGGCTTGGTGAAACATACATGTTGTAGGGGCTGGAAGGAGGTATGAATTACACAAGTGAGGCTCTTAATAGACTTCTTTAGACTCGCCTTTGTAGTTGGCCATTGATTTTAATAGGACTACCTGCATGAGTAAAAATACTTGCATGAGTGAGAGTTGCAGGATTATGCCCATAGTGATTCTGAATATCTTCAAGTTTTTATAACATGCATGCTATTCGTTAAAATGTTCTAAAAATGACTGAAAAGAAAAAATATAATTTGAGATGTACTGTATTTCTGATTTAGATTGGGACTATACACTTTTCTTACTCAGCTGAGCAAAGTTGAGAAGAATGTTGATATATTGCCCTAATCGAATGAAGAACACATTTTTTGTTTCCTTTTATTAAAGAACACCCACTAGAAAGCTTTGCAATCATACAACACCAAATCATGCAGTTTTCTCTATGTTCTGCTTGGAACTGCATTTCTTTTGATGAATGGCAGATATATAAACTTTCATCAAATCTCTCTCATACACACACACTTACCCTCCTACACCTAGTGTTAATTGTTAATTTGCTCTACTGTTGTCAGTAAAACGAGGTAATTGGGGTTTATGTATGAAGCTGTTCTGCCTGTGAGGATCCAATGACTAGAAAAACACAGAATCTTCTGAAACCATTCCCTATCTCCTTTTTGGTAAGTGCTATGCAAAGTGACTCTGGCGTCATTCACTGCCCACCCCATTATGTTAATCTTTCTGGCTTTACATATCTCCTCCCAAAGTCCAGCCTCTGCTAAGAACTCTACACTTAGCTGTCAGAGACAGTAACACAAGAGCGTACTCAGTAAATGCTTGCTTTACTTCATCTACAACATTTTGTGCCATGGAGCAATGTTCTTTGAATCTAGTGTAACTGCTTTAACAAGGTGTTACTTTGAGTTTCTGCATTAGAAGCTCATCTCAACAGAAGAATGCAAAGCAGGAATTGTTAGCATTTGGGCAGCTATTTGGAAAACATAGTTTCTATGCAGGATTTTAAACTACTGAAATTAGGCTTGGGTTTGGGGGTTTTTTATCTTCAAAAGAAGAGCTAGTAAGACTAAACCACAAGTCCTGGGCCAGATAAACTGAAGCTGAAACTGTATTTTTTTTAACTGTAAGAACCATAAGTATGAGACACCAAGAAGTTCCTGCTAGTGAAGCAAATGTATTATATACAAGGATAGGACCTTCATGTACAGGTAACAATATTCCAGTCAGCTCTGTGCATCACATGAAGGACAAACCTTGCCTCACCAAAAGAAGAGGATGTCCCAGTGATACTTGGACCGAGAACCAAGCTACCAGTACTCATGTGCAAAAACAAACCATCAGCGATCAGTTCCACAGCTTGGGTAACAACGAATTAAACCGCAGCGATGAATGCTACACAGGTACGTTTTGTATGACCTAATGTTTTGTATACTTGTGCTCCCACAGCAAATATATTTTTGGTGAATGGGATAGTTGTAGGCATAAAGACCAAACTCTATTCCCTGTTATATGCATGCTGTCCCAGTAATATTAATAGGGTTGCAAAGGTGTAAATGAAGACCGAATTTGGTCTGAAATGCTTTTCATCCTAAACTCTTAAAATTATGATTCTACCAATGTAACCCTGCAAGGATCTGTGGTTTGTGCTCCCCGCTGAGTTAAAAAAGACTGCATGTTTAAGTGTTGCATTTTGAAATCCCAGAGGGGTCCCAGGTCTAGATTTTGCTATAAATTTAAATTCCAGTCCCTCTTTGTTCCTAAGGATGTTGAGTTCTGTGTCATTGAAACCTTTGCAGCTTTCAGAAAGGCCTGGCCTAGCACAGCTCGTGGAAGTAGCACTCGCTGCCATGGCTGTACTAAATGCTATGTCCTATGCTGAGCACTTTGGCAACGAGAGCGGGGCTGACTCATTTAGGCTCACCAAAGAGCCCCATAATTACACACGTGGACCGAAAAGAAAAAAAAATCACGGCTTTTTGGAGGAGCAGGAAGAGGAAGTATTTGAAAGTGATTTATCTGAAATTATTAACAGCAGCTCAAAAGGAGGAAGGACACTATCAAGAAAACGTTTCTGGATTATTGACCGATAAAAAAAAACTGTGTGTGATAGTACAAACTATTGGTAAACCAAGAGCTGGTCTAGTGCACTGAGAACAGTGCTAGGAGTAAGGCACTTCTGAGGTCTAATCCTGGTTCTGCCACTGATTTCGTTTATAGTTCTGGGCAACTTACTTAGGCCCCAATCCAGCAAAACATTTAAGCAGATGCTTAATGTTAACTACAAGTAGTCCCATTTATTCACATGCTTAAAATTAAGTATGTACTTACTTGCTTTCCTGGATCAAAACATTAACTTCTCTATGTCTGTTTCTCCACAAGTAAAATGAGGAAACTAATACTTAACTAGGATGCTGTAATGTTGAATATTTGTATTATGCTTTACGAATATTAAATGTATGCTAATTATTATGACCCTTCCTAAGATGACTACTGAATGGACTGGAGTGTTAGGTTATATATAAAAATAGTGAGTATGGGGATGTCAGAGAGTCTTGAGTGTTTATTAAGCAATTCTTTGTTCTTGGCACAGTCTCACTGGTTTAGTGGCACAGTTACTGCTGGTATAGCAGCTCTGCTTAAATTACATTATTGTGATGTGACTTCCAAAAATACTTACAACACGCACTTGTTTGAAAGGAGGCCTAACGTTTTTTCACAAACTGTAGTCTTTGAGGTTTTAAAAAGCCTTTGTTAAGCCCTATCCAATGCCCACATTGTGCTTGGAACTGTACTGGCCACTGCTGTGTACATAATGTATCTATATGCTGTGTTTGTAAACATCACAGGGAGCAGGCTTATAGCCAAGTTATTATGACCAGTGTGAACAAGGATATTTTTAGAAAAAATCCTTCATAGCTCCATGCTATAAAAGCACACTATTGGCGTGGGATAATAAATAGCACCGTTTGGGTAACTCCCACTCCCCACAGATGGTGCTTGAGCCCTATAGCAACAGAAGTTGTGGCTAGTACAGTATTAATGCAAGGGGGTGAACATGGCCTAACAAGTAATAGCCCAATCCTGCAAAGTCTTGGTCACATGATTGGCAGTAGTGGGATTATTCATGTGAGTATGAGCTATTTGTGTGATGAAGGATTTGCAGGTTCGGGCCCTAAAAACATAGGAAAGATATTATAAAAGAGCGATTCTAAGAAGCATTATTTGGCCCTAGTTAGCTGGATGTGCTCTGTCCTTTTCTTTTTCCTAAATACAACAGAAATGGAATCTAAGTTTCCTGAGCAAGCTTGAATCATTGTTGATCTGAGTGGGGCTGTGTAACTCCCTATCTCATTCCCATCACAACTTTCCCCACAAGTTGTATCTATATCATGCTATTTGAAACGGAGGTTGACAACGTATATTTATTTGCCTTTTATATAGTGTCTTTCATCAGCACATTGTATGGTATACAGGAATCTCTTCCGTGAAATGTAGGGTACGTCTACACTGCAATAAAACACCCACGGTTGGCCTCTGTCAACTGATTCTGGCTTGTGGGCTTGGGCTGCGGAGCTATAAATTGCAGTTAAATTGCAGTGTAGACGTTCAGGCTCAAGCTGGAGCCTGGGCTCTGGGACTCTCCCCCCTCACAGAGTCCCAGAGGTCAGGCACCAGCCTGAGCCTGAACATCTGCACCGGAATTTTACAGGAATTTTACAGCCCTGTAGCCCGAGCGAGCCTGAGTCAGCTGACACGGGCCAGCTGTGGGTGTTTAATTGCAGTGTAGACTAGTGTAGATTGGACTAGAGCTGGTTGAAGCCTGAAATTTGTGTTCTGCTGGAAATTCCAACACTTCAAAATTTTCTATCATCCCAATCTGAAACAAAAAGACAAAATTTTTCACAAAACAGAAATTCTGAAAAAAAGTTTTAATAAGGTTGAAGTGCTTCGTTTTGACTATCATTTTTACTTAAAAGTCAAATGATACAATTGAAACAAAGCACTTTGACCTTATGAAAACGAAGTGCTTTGACTTTGTTGAAACAAAACATTTGTTTGCACGGAAAATACATTCCTGCCAAATGTTTAGATTTTGTCAAATCAGCATTTTTAATGGAAAACTGTTCTGTTGGAAAATTTTTGACCAGATCTACTGTGGACATCTCATTAAGACATCATTTGAAAATTGTGCACCACCAACAAAACTACCAAAAACACTTCCTGTTGTGCCTTTCAATGTCCTTGGATATCTGCTATCCAAGCACTTGTCAGACCCACTTCTGCTTAGCTTGTGAAGTCTGACAGGACCACAGTTTGATGATGTGGTATGGATGGAAGATGGTCACTTCTAGGACTGCAGAGTTGAATTTACCTCCATGCTACTCCTCTAACCTGTTTTATATTCCATGGTTTTGCTTTTTTGTGGCTGATAAAAGGAATACAGTAGATGTCGAGTATTTGAATTTTAATAAAGCATTTCTTTGTGTCACAAAATCTTAATAGAAAAATATATTTAAATTAGCTGGGAGAGAGCTGCTATCATATGGATTTAAATCTGGCTGTGTATAAAGTTGTAGGGGGACTATTTTAATTTTCCTGGGATGTGATCCTTCTAGGGTTCACTTCTGAGGACTCTCAACTCCTTTTAAATTGAAGTCAATAGAGTCAAGGACATTAAGGCCAAGATTTTTAAACCTCGGAGTCTAAATTTAGGGTCCCAGGTCCATACTTAGGTCTCTAAATAACTGGTCTGATTTTCATAAGTTCTGAGCAACGAACAGTTTCCAGTGACTTCATTGGGAGTTCCTGGATGCTCAGAACTTAAAAATCATGCTTGTTATTCAGGAACATACATAGAAATTTAGGAGCCTAACTGTAGGCTACTATTTTTTGAAAGTCTTTGTCTAAAAGTCTTGCAGGAGGTTCTCTGCATTTCACAGATTTAAACTACTGTTTTTCCTGTATCTCTAATTTCGTCCCGTGTAATGTTCCTCACTTGAGTTTTGGCAATGAAAACTAGGATTATGCGCTTCAAAGAGATCAGGAAGGGACCTGAGAGCTTGGCTGAAATCCTTGCTGCACACCCACTTGCCTGAGAGCTAACTATGATTTTATATTGTGATGTTTAATCAGATCTATAAAATGTAAACCACACTTCACCGGCATGTTTTGGCAAGTCCTGTTTTTAGCTATAAGGCTTCACTGATTTTTGGCTGCCATCTATCTATAGGAATGTAGACAGTTGTTTCTTTGTATCCAAAAGTAATGTGCTAAGAAGCAGTTTTAGAAATGAAACGAAATAAATTTATATAGAAAAGCATCACATTGGTTTTGCACTAACGTGTGGTTTTTGGTCTGCTTCTGCAATTTATGCTTCTGAAGGGAGTTACGTTTTTTCTGATCAGAGACAATAGTGAACTATGTTTTTATGTGGAATTTACAGAAGGAAGGAAATATCAGTACACAACTTAACTCTGATGTGTGCTCTTCTGAGACAAATTTAGAGCCAAATCCTCAGCTAGTGTACACTTAATGTAGTTCCTTTGACTTCACTGAAACTATTCTGATTTATAATAGATCAGAATCTGTCCTATATTTTAGATCATATTTGTTTTATTCTGTTCTTAGCGTTAATATTTTTGAATATCCTGCATGACAATAATACTGTAATGCTTTTTAAATGTGATCAATTACTCTAAACCTTACAAATTTTAATGAATGGTAGGGCAAACCTATCTGTCTGTCTAGTTATGTCTCCTGTGAGTGTCCATCATTGTAATATCCAAGTACCTTTGAAGAGGTAATAACCAAAATCACAATAAGTGAGGAATCTAATTTTCCTCTCTACTTCTCCCAAGACATTCACAAGATAGCTAAATAGTATATCACTTGAAATAATATGTCTGCAGAATATTAGCATTAAAACTTTGCAAAACATGCCACATATACTCTAATTTTATTTCTTGAATGTTGTTTCCTAGGAGCTAGAAATCTTAAAATCCCAAACCTGATTTACAGTAGCTGTACTTTTCATTCCGGTTTACGGTATTTCATCTAAGTGTTTGTGTTTTGGCTGCTTGTTTATGAGGGTTAGCAATCAAATTATTATCAATAGGTTTTGAAGTTTAGTAACCCATTAAGGTGAATATAGTCACGTCTCCTGAATATTGACACTGTTTCTGTCTGCAAACTCAGCAAAACAGAAATATATTGACATTGAGGATAAAGTTATCTTCACAATCATAAGGTAGAGCTGAATGGTGAGGGCAATTGTGGGGATTCTATTTATTCTCAGAAAAAAGTATGTGGACAAGGTCATATTATACTGTACTTAGCAGTATACTATGCAGATTGTACTGCAGCGCTGATAGGCCTAACGTGGTTCAGACAATTTTCTGGT